GAGTAAACTGTTCTAGGAGAACATTTTTGAGATGTATGTCAGATAATGTTTTGCCTATATTTTCTTCTAGGAGCTTTATGGTGTCTTTTCTTATGTTTAAGTCTTTGATCCATTTTGAGTTTATTTTTGTGTATGGTGTAAGGGAGTGTTCTAGCTTGATTTACATGCTGCTGTCCAGTTTTCCCAACACCATTTGCTGAAGAGACTGTCTGAAGAAAAAAAAAAGAACATAAATACAAAACAGAAACAGACTCATAGACATAAAATACTAACTTGTGGTTGCCAAGGGGGTGGGGGTGGGAAGGGACAGACTGGGATTTCAAAATTTCTAGATACTGACAGACATGTGCGGAATAGATAAACAAGATTATACTGTGTAGCACAGGGAAATATATACAAGATCTGGTGGTAGCTCACAGCAAAAAAAATGTGACAATGAATATATGTATGTTCATGTAGAACTGCAAAATTGTGCTCTACACTGGAATTTGACACAACATTGTAAAATGACTATAACTCAATAAAAAAATGTTTAAAAAAAAGAGTCAAGGTGCTGTGACATTTCTTAAGAGTTTTCCACCTTGGCCTCGGGGTCTCCTGGCAGGAGGCTGACATTCATGACACAGGTTTCAGGCCACGTGCAGCAGATGACAACTGTGTCAGGACCCACACCTATCATCAGTTAAGACCCATCCTGACTTCAGGGACTTTGATGTGCATCTTCGAATAAAGGAGAGGTCAGACCTGGTTTCTCCGCACTCCATCACTGCTGCAAAACTCACCGCAGGAAAGTCCAGGACCCTGAATGTGTCTCCTGCGTCCTTTAGACATGACACCACCCTGTGTCCATCTCCTGAGACGTCCAAGCTGTGATTTGACTCTTCCCAGCAGCCTCGTTGCTGTCAGGTCCACCCCAACGGGAGGAGGACGGCTTCAAAGCCAGACCACAGCAGGACCTGCTGTCAAGGACAATTTTCATCCTGTCAAATTCATGCCTGGATCTGTCTCAAGAGTCCCTGGAGCTGTGTGCTGAGTTAGGGTGGATCTGTACCGAGGGTTTGCAGACCCAATCCCCCCCCCTTTTTTTATAATTAATACTTCTAGACACCAAAGATGGCTGCAAAGATATCCGCCCCACCTGATCTTCTACAACTTTCTCACTCCCTTACCACGAGATGGAGTCTAGCCCCCACGCCCCCGGAATCTGCGTGAGTCTGTCTTGTTTGTCGCCCACAGAACATGACAGCAGTGAAGCTGAGCCAAGGCTCACTGTGCCCTGCGCACCGTGACCGCAGGTGAGCGGTCTGAGCGGCCCGAGACGGCCGTGCCGTGGGAAAGCCCAGCCTGACCTGTGCGCCGGGAGCCTGCCGGCCTGCCCCCAGCTGCTCACGGCCGACCTCACTTGATCTCACCCCGGCCACGGAAGGGAAAACAACTGTGGTTATTCGGAGCCGCTACATTTGGGGATGGGATGTCATTCCCATGGAGGACAACTGGCCTGGGTCCTGAAATCCTCCCTGTGACCGCTGAGAGCACCGCCCCCAGGGAAAGGTCTGAAGGTCCGAGACTGGTGTCCCAGCCCCTCCTGCTCACAGCCCTGCTACGACTCTCTCCCCATCACCTCGGCATCACCTCTAAGATCCCGGATGGAAAATTTAGGTAACTCACCATCTGTTGCACAGATAAGGACGGCTCTGAGTTGGCTCTAGAAGCTGAAAAATGGTCAAACATGACATTTAAGTCCTTATTTACTTCCACTCTGGCCGTCTGCTCTGGGTCTCAGTCCTGACATGGGGGGTGTCAGGGGATGGCAGGGGGGAGGTCACCCTGCTCCACTCCAGACAGCGGGGGCTGCCGGGTCTCAACATGTGGCAGGACTAGGCTTCGTGGGGCCTGAATCTTATACAACTTGGGGAATGTTCTTTAGGGAAAAAAGAAAACAGAATTAGAGAAAAACCAGAGGGCATATTGATACACGATGTAAAATCACAACAAATTACAATTTAAGAAAGCTGAAAAATACAAGGGCTGCCCCAGGAGCCCACCTACCTGTCCCTATGTCGAAGTCCCTCTACTCCGAGGCTCCTGCCCTCTGCGCCTGCGCCCCTCTCCCGGCAGCCTCACCGGCTCCTGGTTCCTACCACCTCCAACAGCTGTCGGTTTCTTGCTTCATCACATGGATCTGGATTCTCCTCCGATGGCTCCATCTCTCAGTTTCAAGGACATCCGTCTTTGGCTCAAACACACTCCCCCTGCACCCTGTGTTGGGGTCCAAACTCCCCGAGACCGCATTTGCCGACCCTCCTGTCTCCCTTTCCCATCTCATTCAGACCAAACCCTACACCCACGGTCCATCATCATGTCTTCTGTAACCCTCTGCCTTGCCTCTCTCCTTCCTCGCACTTCTCTCTGCGTCGTGTCCTCAGCCCCGCTGAACATGAGTGTGGGGGAGATGTGCGTGTGCACCCCCAGCCTGAGGACCTACAGTCCCACTGTACGTGGGCCCTCTCCAAGCTCAGTCGTGTCCTTCTGCGTTTCTTTCATTGACTTGCCTGCCACGTCAAGACCAATGCCTGCCTCGTACCTTTTGAGGACACCGCCACCCACATCCAGCAGATGGTCTTGCTTCAAGTCACCAAGAGGAGATTCCAGCCCCTTCACCCCACTGCTAATGGAGCCCCCTTCTCCTCTGCATGGCCCTGTCCTCTTCCCGAGCCCGCTCCGCCGCAGGACTGGCCCTCCCCCCGGAGGGCCCCTTAGTGCTGGGCTGTGCCCCTTCAGCCACCCTCTCCCCCTCCAGGTTATTTGTTGAAGGAACAGAAAGGCTCTAAGGCCCAGCTACAAGTCCTTCTTTACTGGCTCTTTTGTTAGGGCTGGACTAGACAGGGCTCCGTTGCCTCCTTTCTGATGTCCCCAGAGGCTTAGGAAGCCCTGGAGGAGACGCACCAGGACTCAGAATTATCAAATCAAAGGTCAGCCCAAGGAGACCAAGCCATCTTCTCGCCCCTCTGCTCAGTTTCGGGAGAGGACAGGGGGTTGGTCAGGAACTTTCTGGGCTACACTGCTTTGGCCAATCCCCAGGCAAGGATGGACCACTTTCAGGGGGGAGAGAGGCCCCTTGCTCCTCTGTCCTCCCCAACAAGCACAAGCTGGGCTACACCCTGGGACTAGCCCTGTGGGCAGAGACCGTCCCTGATTCAGACGCTCTTCCCCATGAAGAGACACGTATGGTGGGTGCAGGGACAAGCTACGCACCACACGTGCGACTTCCCAGCTGAACTGAACATGGAAGGTGGGGCATCAGCTTGTGTGTGGGCCCAGATCGCTGCATGGCTGGAGGCCACCAGCTCTGTGTGGGCCAATGTTCACGGAGGAGGTAGGCTCTGAGAACCCGCTAGGGCCCTGCCTAGGATGCGCTGTGGAGTTTTGCCCCCAGTGCCTGAAGTCGCCGCGGGGCCCTGTGTTCAGAACACACTGCACATACTTCTCATTTAATCTGTTAGGATCTATCAGGCCCAGGAAAGAAAACATTCCCTTTCTCCTCCCTCCCTCCCTCCCTCCCTCCCTCCCCTCTCCAGGACAAAGGCCCTGATCTCGGTATCTACGGGTCCATAGGGGGCTGCCGCTAGGGAGGAGCTGAGATCTTAAGGCCTGCGACAGAGCCAGGTTCCAGCAGTCCCAGATTCTGAAGGGCTTCCAGCAGCTGCTCCCGTGCGTTTCCAATGAAGGTATTCTCCAGGAAGGCAGGCAGGCCTCCCACGCCGTCCCGCAGGGTATACAGGGGTACCCGCACCAGGCCCAGCACCTGGGAAAGGAAGGAGGCAGGAGGCTCTGGGAACTCAGGAAGCTCGTCCCAACCAGATCCTTCTCGACCAGAGGCCTCACCACTTATGGTCCAGCAGAACCAGGCCTGAGGACGCACACCTCTGTGGAGCCTACTGGGCCCAGGTCTTTGCAGACAAGTGACTCAGGTCCTGCTATCCAGCTCCATGAACGCTGACCCTCCTACATCACTAAACCTTTGGTGGTTCCCGCCTCTGGGATGCACCAGTAGTTCTCAAAATGTGGTATCCAGACCAGCCATATCAGCACCATTTAGAAACTTCTGAAAAATGCTAATTCTCAGGTCCTTCTCTCTCTCTCCTACTGAGCCAACAATTCTGGGACTGGGGCCAGTAATCACCGTTTTGATAAGTCTCCCAGATACTTCTTGGAACGGCCAAAGTTTGAGAACGACTGCCACACACAATCTGTCCCCTACTCCCCTAGCCTAAGTGCCAAGGCTTTCCCACAAAGTATCAGGCCACATCTCCTACCCAAGAAAAACAGGGGCCTGCCATTATCAAGGAGGACAGAGAAGAAAGAGTGACTTGGAGAGGTGTGCTCTAGAAAGAAGCTGTAAAGGCCTGTAAACAGGGCAGAGGATTGAGGTCTTTGCAGGGAGACCAGGTAGGCTGTCATGAGTCGCTCAAATTAAAGACCAGGACCTCAACTACACAAGGAAATTGAGGGAGGGTGTGGGGGCGTGGTCCCGGGCTGGCCCCACCTCCAGCCCATGGTCCCGGGCCCGCGGCGCGCCCATCTCCACAGCGGTCAGCTGCTCCAGGGTCAGGCGCTTGGCGTAGAAATGCGCCACGATGCGCGGCCGGGACCCAGCGTGCGAGCTGCGGTAGTCAGCGCGCTCCACGCGGAAGGCGGCCGCGGCCTCGCCCAGCTCCTCGTCCAGCTCGCGGTTCAGCCCGTCCTCCAGGCTGCCGTCTTGCAAGTTCACGAAGCCGCCGGGGAAGCCCAAACGCCCGTCAAAGCGCATCTGCATCTGCGGGAGAGGGAAGCGGGGATGCCGGGGGCGCCCGAGGCGGTGCACCCCGGGGCGGCCGCAGGGCTAGGGCCTGCGGGAGTCGGGCGCGC